AAAAATGCAACGGTTGAAATAAGAAATAAAAATAATCTCCTTTCCCATTGAGTTGCGTCCCAGTGTTCTCGGGGATGGACGTCTGTGTCTTCGGCAGGCGTAGAGCTAACAGAACTGGCAGCGTTGCGAGGCAAGGGCTCAAACATGTACGGCTGGAAGCCTTCTACGCCAAACCAAGCTTCTGCCGCCCTGGCGTCCTCTTCCACAACATAGACTCATCCAAGACCTATGACTCAAACTCTCCTCCTCTTGCTTGTTTCCGCTGTCCATAGCGTTCCTTGACAGTGTCGTTGCTAAGTGCTACTTGGTCCCAATAGTATTCCCCATTGGGAACCTACTAGCACTAACCTGCTAACTGGTTAGCAAGATGTTGCTGACAAACCGGCCACAACCAAATAGATTGGAAACCTTCCACCTCAACAATCCCGCCCCCTTGATATACGACCAATAACATTCACTTTACTCAGTCATGTAAAGTCGTGCACCAATCAGGAGAATTTGGAAATGCAACGGTTGGAACAGCTGCTTCCATACAACTTTAAAAGTGAGGTGGAGACTGATGTAGCTGTATAGCCAGAGCTCCAATGTAATGGATTGGATCTAAGTTTATTCATATATTACAATGATGCAGTAATATCTTAAACCTAAATACCATCAGGAATTTGTGGCAGGAAATCAAACGTGGTGTTAAAAACACTCCATCAAACCTGACTGGATGAGCAAAAATCCAGTTTCTATTTGAAAAAAACTATTTACCAGCTGCCTTATTATAGCAATTTCTCTAATTGTTTTAATGTAAATCCTCTAAAATGCATGCATATTTTCTATTTACCTGACAGAAATTAACTACTATCTCTGTCAGTTTAATTCACTTTATTTATAAAGCACCACTTTACATCGATCCCATCTCAAGGCAGGGAAAGTTTACAGCATATTTTAGTGGCAAGACAGTTCAAAGTGCTGTACATGAGAGAACAAAAAGTAGATTGCAGTGGTATAGAGGCAACAAAACTAATTCAAGAGGGAAAAAAAAGTGAATTAAAATAAGTTGACTGTATTAAAGAAAAGTTTAATGATTAAGTAAAAAGGAAAGAAAACTTGAACTGACGACTCATAATGTTTAGACCGCTCATTCAAAAGCTTTTAAACAAATATGTTTTTAATCTTGGGACAGTGGCAGACTACTGGGTAGGTCATAGAGCTTGGAATCCTGAGGTTCTGAGTTCCAACCCCATTGCCACGGACTGCTACTCTGGGTGTCTGAGCAAGACCCATAACCCCACACTGCTCCCTGAGTGCCCCACTATGGCAGCCCACTGCCCCCCAAGGGGAGGGGTTAAATGCAGGGGTAAATTTCTCCAGTGTGAGATCAATAAAGTTGAATTTTATTTTTTATTATCTTAATTAGTAGAGACTAAGGGTTTCAGTTTCAGGGAGTTTATTTCAGATTAGTGACATTTAAGAACTGATTGCTGCTTCTCCATGTGTGATTCTGGTTCTGGGTATGCAGAGTAAATTTGAGCCAGAATACCTGAGGTTTGGTTTGTTGGTCCAAACCTCAGGTCTTCAGTGGTAATACACTGCTCAAAATAATAAAGGGAACGCTCAAATAACATCCTAGATCTGAATTTAATATTCTCTGTGAATGCTGAATGTGCCGACAACAAAATCACAAAAAAATTCTCAATAGAAATCACATTTTTTAACCAATGGAAGCCTGGATTTGGAGTCACACAAAACATACGTGGAAAAACAAACTTTGATTTTATGTCCTTAAAACGTGACAAAATGAGGCTCAGTATTGAATATAGCCTCTATGTGCCTGTATGATCTCCCCACCATGCCTGGTCATGCTCCTGATGAGGTGGCAGATGTCTCCTCCTAGAACTGGACTAAAGCATCTGCCAACTCCTGGACAGTCTGTGGTGCAAAGGGACATTGGTGGAGTGGTCAAGACATGATGTCTGGGGAACGGTGGGCCAATCCATACTTCAATGCCTTCACCTTGCAGGAACTGCTGACAGACTCCAGACACATGAGGTCTTACATTGTTCTACATTAGGAGGAATCCAGGGCTAACTGCACCAGCATAGTGTCTCACAAAGAGTCTGAGGGTCTCATCTTGTTAGCTAATGGCAGTCATGCTACCCCTGGCGAGCATATGGGGGGATCTGCGGCCCACCAGACAAATGCCACCCCACACCATTACTGACCCTCTGCTAAACCAGTCATGCTGAAGGATTTTGGAGGCAGCAGATTGCTTTCCATGGTGTCTCCAAACTCTGTCATACTAAGAATCTTCTTGACAAAAGCATAGGAAAGTATGGACTCTGAATGAATCAGGGTTAGTTGGAAAGTTGGAAGCTTGTTGTCCCTCTGTTTTGTTTTTTTTGTTTGTTTTTTTGAATATTCAGTGAAAAAAAAAAAGGGAAACGAAAATGCATTTTCATTTTTTTTTGTTTTTATAGAAATACAAGGTTCATATTTGCCACAGATCTATTGCTGACTTTCCAGCTGACAGGTAATTGTGTTTATTTTAGGTTCTTAGGGAAGTCAAAATGTTATCCAGCTTGCAACATGTAAATATTGTGGGATATCACACAGCATGGATGGAACATGTTCAGCCAACAGCCTGTGAGTATTTATCTGCTATCCTGAAGCAAAATGTCTTCAAAAGGAAAATTCCTCTAAAAATCTGTAAAAAAGTTTGGTTTGCTGCAGATCCTGACTCGCACCTTCCTGCTCTGGAATCCCCTGGAGAAAAAGATGGGTACGACAAGAGTCATTAGCTAAACTTTCACAATAGCCTTTTTATTGCATTCCCCTGTAAGTGAACAGAACAGCAAATATATCACTTATACTGTACGTCTTAACTCTCTAATTCACAGTTCGGATGAAAGCGCCGACAACAGTGGCAACAGCTTTTCTGTGGTTTTCCAAAGCCAAAGTCAAGCAGAGAGTGCAAATGGACTTCCATCAGAGAGCCAGTCTTTAGTTTCCAGACCAGACTGCAAGATTATGTGTCCCAAGGAGAAGAACCGTATGCAGGATTATGTTCCCTGCGTCTTCCTTGAACAGGAAGAGCCCGGAAATGGCTCCAAATGTCCCGTCATGAGTCACGACCAGTCGGCAGTGTTGGGCGAGGAGGCCAGTAGGAGCAGCATTGAACAGAACAATAACTCCTGCACTGAAAGGGAGCATCAACAGTGCGCTGAAATACACTCAAGAAAACCCTCTAAAGATGTAGGTGTTTTAACTCTTTCAATTTCATTTAATTTACCAAAGAAAAAAATGTAATGTACAGTAAAAATCTCTACAATCTGTACAGTAAAAAAATTTTCTTCTGGGTTCCTGCCGATGTGCTCAGGTTCAGATCCACCTGATGCTCTACATTCAGATGCAGCTGTGTGAGCGCTCACTAAAGGACTGGATCAATGAGAGGAACTTCAGGCCCAAAGAGGACCAGCTCTCTGACTGTATTCCTCTTAAATAGTTTATAGATTAGTCATTATTTGTAACAATATACAAATGGTTGTCTGTGAAATGAAATGAATTGCTGACTTTCAGTCCCACTCTGAAACATAAACGTCTCCCTCTTGTGTTTTCTGCAGCTCCTTATGCTTGTGTTGATGCTGAACACACACTGAACTTGCTCAGGAACATTCTGGAAGGGGTGGCATACATTCACTCCAGAGGAATCATGCACAGAGACTTGAAGGTAACATTTAGAGTTTGTATTTTAGCATTTCATTGTGAAGCGGAAGGAGAATCCAAGGCTTCAAAGGTTTTAATGCGTTTCAGCTCCTTTATGCTTCAGTACGGTTGATTAACCTTTTGTCATTGTTTATTCCTGCAAGTCTTACTGGCATCTGTAAGCTTCGTACCTTTAGTCACTGAAATATTTCTCATTTCTCTATGCAAAATCACTGAAATTTAAATTGGATTAAAAGCCTCTGTGAATATACATTGTTACATTTTGCCAAACCTAATTAGCCTTTTACTTTTAGATTGTTGCCCCAATCATTGTCAAATAGCACATATATAGAATACCTTCACAACAACTCCCTTATAAAATTAAATTGTCATTTAACAAAAATTATTCAACTTCAAGTCAAACATATTTTGGTTGAAAAAAAGCTTGACTAAACAAATGAAACTCGAATAAACTAATTAGCTACTGTTTACACAAAGAAGAAGAATTGAAAAGGGTTGAGAACCAAGATCAATAACATTATTTGATGACATCACAGGTCAGGATTTTATGTTTGAGAACCAAAGTTTATCTCGACGAGTTTGAAATGTGGTCAAATTAGCTGCTAACGTATTTAGAGCAATTGGAATGTGTTCATAACATTTTACAGCGCCGGTAAAAATACATTACTTGTTAGGATTATATTTTATTAAATGATTTGCAAAAATCAGACCTTAATAGCCTTTTATTTAAATTAGTCTAAATCGTCTGTGATTGTTCCTTAGAGAATGATCCAGCTTATGGACCACCTAGTAGGGCTGGGTGATATGACCTCAAATCAATATCATGATAAATTGGGCAGTTTTACCTCGATTACGAAGCAGAATTAAGTTAATTTATTTTACCG